AATCCTTGGGCCTTCATAGTCGAGCCTAATCCTGTAACAGTTGTTCTCAGAGCCCAAACCCTTGGAACTACATAATTGAATGGCGCCCCAGAACAGTTGTCCCCAGACACCAAACCCTTGGCCCTACATAGTCAAACCTAGTTCCTTTACTGTTGGCCACAGGACCCAAACCCATGGCCCTACATAGTCAAACCTAATCCCGTAACAGTTGCCCCCAGACACCAAACCCTTGGCTCTACATAGTCGAACGTAGCTCCTTTACTGTTGGCCACAGGCCCCAAACCCATGGCCCTACACTTCTCAACAGGTTTATTACCATTCGTTTAATAAAATGAACAGTCTAATGAGCAGTGGTTTAGATCACAGATACCAAAGTCTGGTCATTTGTCAAGATCAGTTTCCTGTTGTGAGATTGCTGTGTGCAAAAAAAAAAAAGTGCATAACCTTGGGTTACTCTCTGGAAGCTGAAAAAATACCTAGAAACACTTTGTAAGACTGATTTAGTGAAGATTTTATAATCTCAGAATTAAATCCTGCACAGTGCAGTGTGTGTGTGTTTGTGCAAGTGCGTGTCACAGTGCAGGGAGCACCGAGTTGCGGGTGTGGAACCCTCTGATGGTGACAGCGCGGTGAGGGACCCCGCGCACTGCTAACTCCATGTGAATTGCAATGAGTTAATGCCGCATGGATGACACTGTAACTGCCTTTGGAAACACGGCTGTGAGGGCACCGTCTGTCTGGAAATCGCCAATTGCCAGTGAATAACAAACTATTCTCTATGTATGTGTTAGAACTTTTTTATTTTGAAGAAAGAAAAACCGCCAAAAAAAGCCGCACGGGAGCGGAGGTGCTGCTCGGCAAAACACCCACGGGACGGGGCTCCGCGAAGGGGACTGATGTGCCCGCTCCGCAGGGCCCGGGCTCTGCGCGCTCCGGTGCGCGGGGCTGCGCGGGGCTGCGCGGGGCTGCCCGGCCCTGCGGGCGCGCAGGTTCCGCGGGGCTCGT